CCGTGTGCCCCCCGATGCTGGGTGTCGGGGGGTCGGACTGGTCCGCAGCCCGGAGGGAGCCGTCCGCGGGGAGCGTGGGTGTGGGGCAGGCTGAGCGGGGATCCCCCAGGCACCCCCGTCCTTATCTCCAGGGTTGCTTGCCGGTGCTTTGCGGGCTGGAGGTTTTCCTGGGGTTTGGAGATGGGTCTCAGCTGGGAGGGGGCTCTGCAAGGCCAAATTCCTCCCCGGTAGCACCAGCCACGGGGCGAGGGCATGAGCAGAGACTAGACGGGGGTTGTATGAGGGTATTAGCAGCAGGCACAGGAATGGGAAGAGAGACTTTTCCCACACTAGACATTTGCAGGCTTTCCGGATGAGCTGTAGTACAGAGCCTGAGGTTTGCCGATCTGAAGTTATTTTCCCTCTAAAATGTTGTGTTAGTTAGTTTTCACTCACACTCCTCCCAAATGCACATCAATTACAGAGGGGATGGAGGATTACAGAGCAACAGGGAGATTCTTTTAGCGCAGTCTGTGTCTCTGAGCTGATTCTTTCTGTTTTGCTAAACAAATATCAATGAGCTAATTGGGGAAATCCCTCGGGTGAGATCTGTCCTCATTTCTAGAGGCAGGAATCAGCAAGGACCCACCGTCAAGGCAAGGACTTCAAAATGAGCGTAGGGGAGTGAGTGGTGAGGGTCCTCGGCCAGGCTGTGGGGAAGGCCTGGCTTCCAGGGAAGCAGTGGCAAGGAGGGGAAAGTGGCCCAGTTCTACCAAACTGGTCCCAGCAAGCCTTGTAGGTATTTACACCCCCGCTTTCCATGGTATTTCTACCCTTCGCAGTCCTCACAATTTGTCCTCCCTCCTTCCATCTGCGATGCGGGACACTGCCCTCGCTTTACAGGTGCAGCACGAGTACTCAGACAGCCTAACGTCTCTTCCCAGCCGGCGGGACGCACGCCAGCCTACAGCCAAAAAATCAGGAGTATCTGCTGCACAGTCCTGCTAATTAGGGTGTATTTAGCAGGCTCAGCGCCGTGCTGACATAGCCACATAGCTTTGGGACCCAAGTTGGCTTGAATCTGTCTGGTTTGGGCAAGGGGAGTACGACTGCCTACGACTGTTAGACCTGCCTAGGTGATGTAAAGCTGCAGAGAAAGACTCAGCAGAGCAGAACTCTGACCCCAGGACACCAGAGGAAACATGATCAGTTCTCTGCCTGCTAAATAATCTCTCCAGAATAACAGAAGGGAAAAAAAAACATGCACCACAAGGTCTGACAGAATGTAGCATCTTTAAAATTAGCATTTTTTTATATATTGATCTTTTGTTCAGGAAAATCAGTAGAAGAACTGACAAGATGCTTACTTGTCATATAGTCACTGCATATTGCATCTTTTCAGTAAATCAAATTATTTTTAATATTCAACTATAACAGGAGAGAGCTAATAAAGGTGCATAGTGTTATCATTAAAGCAGAGCTGTAATCCAATAAAAATCTCTATGCTCTTCAAAAAGAAGCTCAAACTTGTGCTTGAAAAGTTCTAGTTTAGACACTTTTCTTACCAAGACTTCAGTCTCCTGATGATGCCTTATTGTTATCGAGATGGTATCTTTGTCTCAAGCTCAGTGGTGGTTGCCTCAAAAGGTGTGATGTGTTTCTGCTGCCTCTGTCTTGTACCCTGTGTGGACAGTGGGTGCTCTAGATCCAGTCAGGAAGATGAAGTCTCAGTGAAGTCTCTGTCTCTCTCTCTCTCCAGCACCAGAGCTGGAATTTGACAGCCTCTGGTGGCCCAGTTCAGGGAGCTAAACCCAGAGGAAACTATTTCTGTTTCCTCAATTGCTCATTTCGGGCTGGTTTGACTCCCTGCAGTGCCACGCTGCCCAGTGGTGCAAGCATCAACGATAGCGCAAGCAAAGGGAGCAGGACGTTGTGCATGGATGTAGCATGGGAGGACAGGATTTTGGCAGCTGGTGAAGTGATCCTAGAGCTCATACATCCAAAAAATACAAAACTGATCACAGCTAGTCATTATTTTGAAGGCAAATGATCATGTATACTTCCTATTGCAAGCAGCCAGTAAGTTATGTTTTGCATAAACAGAAATTCCAAATAGTTCTACTGGGAGTTTCTACCAACTTAGACAAGTATGGCCGGAAATTTTAAAGTAATTTTTGTTTCCGTTGGATGTTGAAGTCTCACCATTGAGTGTTTCTAAATCCTGTCTGTGTGTTTAATGACACCAAGGGTGTTTATTGGCATAATTCCCTCTGAAATACTGTTTTGAATGTAGTGTTCAAACATTTAAAACAGAAATGTGAAGAAAGGTGACCAGTGGTTCTTGTGTTACAGCTTGTTTGTCAGCCTATTTGCCACTCATGATTTCAGCACTTGCTGAAATGACATTTGATCCTACTGCGATTATTGAACAGGGCGAAGTGTTTGGGGAAAGTGTAAAGTGCCTACATCCTCAAGTATATGTAATCAAGAAACGTGTTAGGAATAATAGAAAAGCAATACTCCAAAATAATAAAAAGCATTCAAAGGAGGGGTGTCCTAAAGCTGCCAACACCATTGTTAAATTCTGTCATTCCTAAATATCATAGTAGGTCTGGTACTTCATAAATAGATGGCTCAGCAGAATCCTGTGGGCTTCTGAACCGAGGTCCAAGGGTTTTTATATACATTTCCTTACAGGTCTTTTAAAGTAAATTGCCTTATAGTTCTAACAATGAAGAAAGAGTACTTTTGTACATAGAGAACATTTAAAATAGAAACTACTGTACAATGAGAAAGCCTGAAAAAGGAATTTGAATGAAAGTGGTTACTCTGAGAAAATCCACAGATCTTTCTACATTACAACAAATGTTGTGCAGTGATTCAGTGAAGATACTGTAATCCTCTTTTTTCCAGAGACGGGAAAAAATTAAATAGAGTGTGACTCAGAAAAAAATCTATGATTCACAGTGCTGTAAATGGGGGAAAAAAAAAAAAGACCACTCAAGCTGTGTTTCATAGGATAGCAATGTAATTTTTATGTGTATTTTTGAACTTCCAAGTGTCTCATTATCTTCCACATTTTGGTAGGTACCTGAGCACAAATCCTGTCCTTCAGGTTCCTTTGGCTTGCATCCTTCTCATTGTTTGAATGAATCATTATCTACCGTCGTTCTGTTAACTAAGCTGGACGAATAGGAACATAGAGGTCCCTGATACTTCTTTTTGTATTTCAAGAGATGGCACCATTCCTTTATGTCAGCTCTGGCACTCCTTCTCTGTCATGCTGCAGAATGTGACATCTTTCCAATGAGACACAAAACTGATCTACTGTCCCTTAATAGTTGCTGGGTACTGACTGCAAGAGTGATGTTATTATCCCACTGGCTAAATTCCATTCTAGCAACCCAATATTCTTATTATTCCACATAACTAGGGCAATTCATACTTCTTGTTCTGAATCTTGATGACCATAAAATTGCCATGTATTGCTGCAGACAACCAATATTTCACTGTCATCTTGGTTTAATTCCAGTAAGATGTGAAGTCATTGCTTTATTTGTTGTGCAGCTATTCAGTCCCTTTGGGAGTTTTCTGCATGGAAAATGTGATAGACCTGATGTTATCTGCATATCAAGTTGCTAATATGGGATTAAAGTTATGTGGAAATTCTTACTTCTGCAGGTCATTCATACAGCCAACTTGAAAGGGAGTCAACAGATAAAGAAACCAGGCTAGATGACACTTACTGTCCTTTGGGTATTCTAGGTAGAATTATGATGTGTGATGAAGCACCAAAGTCCATGCTTGTACTATTAAATAATAGTGGCTGTGTGGCAAGATGGCAAAGACTGTGATGTCCATACTACATATAGGACTTGTCCTGGGTATCCCATGGTGCGGTCTAAGACATTTGACACCGTCTCCCACAGCATTCTACTGGAGAAAGTGGTGGCTCATGGCTTAGACAGGTTTACTCTTCGCTGGGTAAAGAACTGGCTGGATGGCCGAGCCCAGAGTTGTAGTGAACAGAGCTAAATCCAGTTGATGGCCGATCAGAAGTGGTGTTCCCCAGGGCTCAGTTTTGGGGCTGGTCTTGTTTAATGTCTTTATCGATGATCTGGAGGAGGGCATCGAGAACCCCCTCAGTAGGTTTGCAGATACACCAAGTTGGGTGGGAGTGTTGATCTGCTCAAGGGAAGGCAGGCTCTGCAGAGGGATCTGGACAGGCTGGATCGATGGGCCAAAGTCAACTGTATGAGGTTTAAGAAGACCAAGTGCAGGGTCCTGCACTTAGCCACAACAACCCCATGCAACGCTACAGGCTTGGAGAGGAGTGGCTGGAGAGCTGCCCGGCAGAAAAGGACCAGGGGGTGCTGGTTGGCAGCTGGCTGAATATGAGCCGGCAGTGTGCCCAGGTGGCCAAGAAGGCCAACAGTATGCTGGCCTGTATCAGAAATAGTGTGGCCAGCAGGAGTAGGGAAGTGATCGTGCCCCTGTACTCAGCACTGGTGAGGCCGCACCTCGAATCCTGTGTTCAGTTTTGGGCCCCTCACTACAAGAAGGACATTGAGGTGCTGGAGTGTGTCCAGAAAAGGGCAACGAAGCTGGTGAAGGATCTGGAGAACAAGTCTTCTGAGGAGCAGCTGAGGGAACTGGGTTGTTCATTCTGGAGAAGAGAGGGCTGAAGGGAGACCTCATCAGTATCCTGATGAAACCCCCCTGAAAGGAGGTTGTGGCGAGGTAGGCGTTGGTCTCTTCTCCCAAGTAAGTAGCGATAGAATGAGAGGAAATGGGCTCGAGTTGCACCAGGGGAGGTTTAG